CAGGTCTTGCCGCAGATGATGTGCTCCTCCAGGGTGTCGTATATGAACTTGTACTGCTCCACATTCTCGACGAGACCCTTGCGGGATTGGCGCAGCTTCTTGAGGTAGCCAAAGACATTGAAGCACTCCTCCTCCTCGGCCAGCTCCAAGTTGGCATCGATGGACATGTAGACACCCGATCGGCCGCCGCCATCGCTGCAGTGCACCAGAATGGGACCCCGCATGTCGTCCTCGTCCTTGATGATGTTGCCCACCACCAGACGCACCCGCCGCCGAAACTCGAGCAGGGCATTGGAGAAGGGACACGAGTGGGAGTACCATTCGGTGTAGTGGAACTGCAGGATCAGCCGCTCGTCCGTCACCTCCTGTTTCTCGTTCATCTTGTACAGCCTGAAGGTGCGTATGTGGAAGTTGGCCAGCTGTTCCTCCCTCACAATGTTGATGAAGATGTCGCCGTACTGCTCGTGCACCTCCATATTGGGCGGCCAGTACTGGTGGCACATGACCTTGGCGAAATCGAAGGTTTTCGTCAGCATCACGATGGCGCTGATGTTCTCCTGCCACACCATTCGCCAATACGCCTGCACCGTCTCCTCGACAGGACCCTGGGTCACAATATACGCATTGGGCTTGAGCAGACTGTCCACATAGGAGGCATTCACGTAGTCCGAGTCCTGCAGGCCACCCACTTTCTCCAGCACCACGCGATTGTAGTCGTAGGGAATGCACTTGGGGTTCTGGTTCTTCTCCAGGTTGTTCTTCTTCATCGCATGCCGACAGGTGTTGCTCTCCACCTTGGCGGCCGTTTGGAACTCCAGTTTGTAGAGTACGGGGAATTTCCTGCGCAGATCGCAGAGTTTCAGAAAGTGACGGATATCTATGGGTCCATTTGGTATCGTCTTCGACAGGGAGTTATTCTCATCGCGGGCCTCGAGCTTTATCCTTTCGAAGGATAGCAAACCGCTGTTGAGCATACTCAATTTGATGGTGTTCGGTATGGAGACGATGGCTCGGCTTTTGCGCTGCTGCTTTTCCACATCGTCGTAGCGGGCGGATGACCTCGACCTGTGCTTTCCAGCCTTTCCACCCGCACCCCCACTACTACCACCCCCAGTGGCCGCCGTCATTTCTCCTCCTCCTTTTCCTGCTGCTGGTGACTTTTCCTCGTTTTCCGCTGCTTCTTCTGGCTTTCCCACAAGCTGCTGCGTTGTCATCATCAAATCACGATGCCAGAATGTGCCGTCGTCGTTGTCGTTGTTGGGGATTTTTTTTTCGTCGTTTCGTATAGAGGAGGAAGTAGTCGATTAGTCCACTTGGCTCTGCATTTTCAGCGTTTTTTTTTCTTTTCTCATTCGGTTAGTATAATACATTGCATTCCAAAAACATGGGGTGTTAGTACTCGAATTTGTTAGCTAATTTGTTCACCTTTTTGTGGCTTTATGTGCGTTGCGTTGCGCGTTTGGTTCGTTATAAAAAGAATTTCGTGTATATTTTGTGTATATTCGTATTTTCTTGCTTTTCCGTTTTCCTCCCTCTCGTTCCCTCGATTCCATTCACTACACAAAACGCGACGAGTCGATGATTTTCAGCAGCTGCCTCCTCGTTGTTGGGGCGAAAATCGTTCGGCGACTGAAACCGCGGCGCCCCAAAGAACCGAATCGCGTCGAAAACTAGCCATTTCCTACCACACACAGAACCGATGGGAAATTCGTGGCGAGAGCGAGGAAATGCCAGCGAGAGAGCCGCCGAGCGGGAAAATGCCGAGCGGAGAGCCCGTTTTCACCATGGCCCATGTGACTGGCGCCACTTGATGGGCGCAACAGCGGTGGGGCGGGTATTTTTAGACAGCGCGGGCGGACAGCGCTAAGTGGCCACCGTGGGCAGAACGATAATCAAAATTGAATAATCGGTTTTTCCATTAATTTCTGAGGGGAAAAACACTTCTCCGTTCGTGAAATGTTTTTAAAACTCAAAAAAAAAGGTTGGAAATTGGCTCCCAAATACATGTTATAAAACTAGAAATAAAACATATAATTTCTAACTATTAAAAATGTTTCCAATTGGTTCAAGAAAATGTACACAGAGAAAATTTTGGTTATAGGCAGATAAAAAGGGATAAAATTATGTTTTAATGTAAAACAAAACACCTTAAAATGTATAAGAATAACAAAAATGTTTCCATCAAATTTTTGCACTTAAAACTTTTCCTATTATTTTTCTATTTTAATATAATATTTTTCGTCCCACATTTTTTAACATTCGAATTCGGTTTATGTAATAAATCTTCATCGTATTCTTTCATTATATTTTTTAGGATCTTAGCGGTTGTTAGTTCTCATTCACCAACAAACTTAGTTATTTATCGCATATTTCCATCACTGTGCAATTCACCTTATAGTATGAATGAAAATTTCGATTTTCCCATTGTCTGCTCATTTCAGCTTCGTCTAAAATTTTCCACTTACAATTACCACGGCAAGTTTTTCGCTCTTTCTGGTCATTTCCCGCATTTCTCTTCCTACGCTGGGAAATTCTCATGGCGCCTGCGCCCTGAACAATTTTTTCACTTTTCATTTTCGTATTTTGTTCGTTATCTATTGTTTTGAGATGTGTAATTGAAAATTCCGCAGGTTAAATGAGGAAGTGACGCTGGTATTCGTTGGCATTTTGTTTTCCATATTTAATTGGCAGGGCGCTGGTCGGTGGAAAATCGAAAGCAAACACGAAGAAATATATCATTTTTATGCATAAATAATTCGAGAATATATTTCGTCCTCAGTAATTTACATTTCCTGTTCGCAAGCAGCCAGCTGTGATGGTTTGTTGATATTTTCGCTGCCATTGTTATTATTGTTATTCATTTTTTTTTCGTTGCCTCTATTTGTTTGGGTGCACATTTTTGCACATTTTATTTCCGCATGCACTTTGTCCGTCCCGGCGAACCACTGTAAATAGCATTTGGCACTAGCCCACGGAAAAAGAGGAAGCGGAGGCCCGTCAAGAGTAGCCATCAAGAACAAACAGCCCCAACAAATTGCCATTTCGCTATAATCGTGTTTGAACCTCATCAGTGGGGTTCGAGGTGCTTGAAAAAATTTCGAATTTCAAAATAATTACATGCGAATCCGACACGAGTTGTAAACAGCTAAAAGAAACACAAGTAAAAATGCAAGGGATTTATATTTAAATGAGTGCCTGTGCGCACTGACTGACTGAAGAAGGCGAATTTTGATTAAAATGTGATTGTCATATGGCCTTGATGCTTGACAGCATCAAGTTTGATGACCTCATGGTGATTAAGAGCCCAGAAATATTGATGGAATTTCAAGTTCAGATGACTTTTCATCGAGAATTATGATTGGCAGAATTGCATTGGGGAAAATACAGCAATAATAAATGAGTAAAGCTCTTTTTGTTGAAATTAGTCCCTTTCGTTTCGATGTCAAAACAGATCAAAATCTTCCAAGAAATAAATGACATTAAATGAAAATAAATATGAGTTATTTAAGTATGCAATATTCGGCAAAGCTGTATTAAAAAAAATAAACGAGTTCCAAATGTATTATTTATTAGATGATTATAATGCAAATCAGATAAAATTGTCTAATAAAAAGGATAGTTTTGAAATCAATAAAAATAAATTTTAGTCATTCGGTACAGAATCATTTAACTTTTATTGAAATACATTTTTTTACGGCTTTCAGTAGTTAGTTCAGAAATATATATTTAGGTCACATTTTACAGCATGCTTTAATGTCGTTTATAAATTATTGTTTGGCTCCCAGTATTTTAGCTATATATCTTTAACCTTGTTAAACTTCAATGGTTTCGTATGATTATCTTGTTGGCCAACCGTGAACACTCTGCCAGCTGTTCCCATCTTGCACGGTTTATTTGGTAAGCTTATTTGCATATACCCAATTAGCAGCTAACCATGAAATCGATGCCCTCGGACTCTCAGATTCTGTTTGGCACCAATCCATAATAGATTCCAGTATTCGAGCAGCCGCAGCCACCGCCGCTTATGCCCCATTAAGTCCCGAAGCCGGCCACAGGAATCGGATCACTTCTGAGGAGGATTGCGTGGGCCTAATTTAATATATATGATCCGGTTGGCCGGGTCACACGAAAATCCCGCAGCAAAGCCGCTTGGCAATTGTAAACTGTAGTAGGCACCTAATTTGCGAACTGTTGAGCCATTAGAGGGCACAAGGTGCCAGCACATCCTTCCTTCGCGTCGGACCTCCGCAGTCCTCCAAAAAGCCCCCCAAAAACAGCCCTTGAGTACACGAATACCCTTATTCAACCTCTGCGCGATTTTGTATCACAGACAGAAAAACAGGAATTGAACAAAAGTTTTAAGAAAAATCATACTTTAATGGGAATAGGTATTATAAAGGATGTTTATAATAGTATTCACCTATTTTGACTTTAAAATAGTAGACTGTATTTTCTTTTGTCTAGCTAGGAGAATGGCAAACAATGTTGCTGACCATGTGCTTCTAGTATTAATAAATAATTTATAATAATATTCTTGAAAGTCGTACATTGTGCATTGGGATCTATTGATTGGCTTTCATTTAAAGGTTATCTTTTTCATGCCATTAAGTTGGTTCCAAAACAATGAATCGATTTGAAGACATGGTTATAGTAACCTACATGATGCGAATTCGGTATAAGTGTTTAATTTGAAATGTTTGGTAATGGATTTGTTTCCCTCAGTGCAGCTTTTCCCCACCCTTTGTCCCACTGCACATGTTTATGGCTAAGCCCACACAGCGTTGACTGCGGTTGACCCCAGTAACTCGAACAATGAAGTTGGTGGGGGCAAAAGACCGGGAATAAGGGGGACGGGCAGAAAGGACGCCTCATCAGCGACCAAATCCCCGTGTAAGCTCCACAAAGGACAGCAACCCACGAACGAGGACCAAGGACCAAGGACCGTTCAACTAATTAGCATTAAATCAGCTGTAACAGCAAATAGAGGGAGGAGGACTTACCTTGCCGAATATGGTGAGGCCGCCGTGTTTCATGTTGAAGGTCGGCGCGTCCGCATAACTCGAGTCCGCCCAGGGGGTGTGGCAGGTGGAGGTCAGCGTCATATATCGGACCCCGATGGCATACAGGGTGCGCAGTACCGCCAGGGAGCCGCCCAGGGAATGACCACCCTCTACGCCGGTCAATGAGCACAATTGCTGGTTCTTGTGGGCATCGATAATGTCTGTATACCGATTAAAAGATAAAAAGATGTAGATAAATAAGTAGGTATCTTAAGAGTGGATCGATCATAATAATGTTTTGTAAACGTCTGCTTATCAATCAAACAATCGAAGGGTAAAAATTGGAGAATCATAACTTGATCGATGCCTTTTTAAATTAATTCTTATTATATAAATATATTTCTCAATAAATTGATTAACCTAAAATTCCCTTAAACTGAAACTGAAATACTTGAATTGTTATTTATTTCAATTAAATAACCTTTCACATTAACTACAATAAAAGTCCTGAGGACCTTTTTACACATTTTGATTTCTCATATAAGATTTTGTCAGATTTTTGCTTAAAAGGTGTTTGAGAGCTGTTAAATAAAATGTATATAAACATTTTTATGACATACCTAAAAACCTGCTTGGGCGTTACATAAAAATTAAATATACTTTTTATTTTAAGTCCTATGTAATTTTGCCTTCACTGCACCTTAACAGATGTGTGGCTAAATGTTTTTGGGGTTTTTGTGGCCGAACGCAACTTAAACTTTAAACTTGGCTCGGCTCTGTTTTTTTGGCCATGAGTAACATTTGTTGTTCTGTGGCCTGTCATTTGCTCGGCTGCCCCCATTGAGCACTCAGTGCATTGTGGTTGGTCCTGGATTCTGGGTCCTGAAAGCTAGTTCCCCTCCCGTGTGCCCTTCAAGTGCCAGCTTATCCCTGGCCAACAAAACATTTCGCTGGGCCATGCAATATTCACGCTTGTCTTGGTTCGGGCAGCTTTGATCTGTTTCTTGACATTTTATTTTGCTGCCAACGAGCACTTGTCAAAATACTTGTGCCCTGTTCATTCATTCGTTTTCATTGTTTTAAGCCAGCCAGGCTCGAGTCATGTTTGCTTAAAGTTTTCGGCCAAGTTTACTTTGAGTGGTAGTAAGTACATATTTTGTGGACTGGCGTGAAGTGGAGTTTTCCCAAAATCTTGACTAAATGGTCAGTGGTAAAGTTTAAATAATTTTAAATAATCATTTTGACTTGTAAATTTCTGAAGGGGTTCAAGGGTTTGAATGAATTGATGATTCACTCCCAGATTCTTCAAGAAAAACTTTACAATAGTATACAATTTTTAAAAGGCAAGAAAATTGGTCAATAACTGTATCAGTACAACAATTTATTAGTAAATGCTTATCAGCAAGCCCCTTATTACTTCAATGACAAATAACATTTCATTTCCTTCATAGGGTTAAAATGTGTCATTGATGGATATGAAAATCATTTCAATTTTAATGGATTTGTCAATCAATAAACGGCTCCTTTCGATTTATGTTGAACTAATTGGGGAAACATGTTCCTGAAACCTTTTCCATTTGGACCCTGAAATTTGTGGTTGCCAGCTATTCAAATCAAGCATTTTGTGTGCCCAATTTTGATAACATTTCGAATGTATCGCCCACATTCACAAGTACAGAAAAGGTAAACGGAAAGCGGGTTAATAAATTTTGCCACATAACGAAGGCCAAAGGGTATTATTTTCCTGCCGAGGACGAGAAACTGGAAACAGGAAAAGGACTCAAGACACAGGACTGGCAAAGTTTTCATGGCTATAAGCAAATAAGCTGTGCAAAATCAAAAGCAACGGCAGGTGGAAGAAAATGGGAATTGTTCTCGATGCTGTTTTCTATTGCGTGCACTGGAAAAACATGCTTAAAACATTTTTAAGCAAAAGTCAAAAAGAAAACAATTTTATACACTAAGTTTTACCTCAAATTCAATAGATATAATTATTTAATTATAACCTAATATAGGTTAAAAATAAATATTTTGTTCTATTTTAAAATAATCATATTAAAAATAAAATTAACTTTTTGTCTTATAAATGTAAAATAATAATTAAAATATTAAATAATACAAAAAAAGTGTATGGAAATAAACATTTTTATATGGCAAGTTTGGGCTGTTGCTAAATGTATTTTTCTTTGTGGTTTTCCTCGACATTGCCTTCTATTTTCCTTCAATCCTCTCTTTGTATTGTTGAAAAAAGCCAAAATACCTGCCACAAGAACCTGGTCGAAGTCGGAAACGTCGTAAAACCCTAAAATATGGAGGAAATAAACAAATGTACCGGGGCCAATACCAAAACCAATACTGGCGAATCCTTCTCCTGTCGAAGAGGCACTAAAACGCGCCACGTGAGCTGAAGTTCAATTTTGTAGCCAGGACTTTGACTTCGGGTCTGCATGTAATTGTCTGTGACTGGGACTGTGACTGCTACTGTTTTCGATTTCTGGTGACCAGGTCCGTAATGTATAATAGATGGCCCCCGTATCGGATGCGAATTGAGGCAGTGCTCGTGGAGCACTCTGTCGCACACGGGAAATGCTCCAATACATTTCAAAATGAAAATCCCAACCAAATGCCACTTGACGCTATAAACCAAAAGCAATGGCAACAGCAGCTCCACAAAAGGGAACAATGAGGGCTGAAAAATACAGCTGGTGGAAGCATAGATACCCTAAAGGGCCAACGTCAAAAAAGCTAAGATGCACTTGCATCTTTGCGGCAAGTTAGGTTTCTTGAATTTTTCTCAAGATCAAAATCATAAACTTTTTGTTAAAAATTATTTAAAAACGTATTTTGCTTTGCCCAATCGTTGATATGCTATTTATCCATATCCTTCTTTCATAAAATTATTATTTTCTTAAGAAACTCCCATTCTCGTTTGAAATGCTTTTTATGTATTTCTTTCTAACATATAATCATATTTTTTTATGAAACTCGACTTTCTATATAATTTTTTAAGTTCTCTGTTATTCTTAAATATTGTGTTCTGTGTTACCTTATGATCTTTGCATTTTATAAAATTTTAATAACTATTTAACCTTTACATGGTTAATTTGCTTTTTTCCATATTTATTTTTAAATTTTCCTTACATCTTTTCATTTATTCCTAGGGAATATACCCTATTTTTTAACAAAAGCTTCAGAGTGCCCAGGTTGAAGCCAAATGCTCCATTCGATTCTTATTTTTCTTTCTGCTGCAGCAGAATGCAATTTTCTCAATATCCTTTTCCTCGAGCTGCTGCTCCTGCTGTTCGGATTGTGGCGCTGGAGCAGTGTAAATTGAAGTTTACACTTTTGAAGGTGAAAATTGAAAACTGCAAATAAAAACGATTCGCACTTGGGGAGAGCCAAATGTAAAGTAGCTGGTTGCTGGCAGGTGACAGGCGAGAAGGACGATGCCAAAGGATATACCGGGATATACATATCCTAAGGGCCCTTTGTATTTGGCTGTCGTATTTATGCAGTGGTCATTTGTTTAGTTGGAAAGACAGGTACAGAAATCTAAACAATTCTTGGAAAAATGCAATATCAGCTGTTGTTTTTTTTTCATACATAATAAACTAGGCAAGTTATTTTACACCTTCTTTAAAGTTTAGTCGAAATAAATTTAGCTAATACATTCTTGTTTATTTTAAATTTTTAATACTAAGAATACACTTTTGTATTCTCGAGCTTATTTATTTATTTATTATGCACTGTAGAGAAAAGTAGAGTTCAGGCGAATAATAAATATATTTAAAAGTTAACTTTTTTACTAATATTAAAATCTTTGGCGTCTATTTTATTTATAATAATTAATTTCCCTTAGAGCATCCTTTAGTAATGTTATCTTAATATGTAAAGTATCGAAAGATATTTTCAATCAACACCATTTTTAAGGGTGCAAAGTATTTAGATCCAGGGAGTTGAGCCTTGGTTTCTAAAATACCTAATGAAAAGAAAACTTTAAATAATTTTCTACTGCTAACGAATTTTTCTTAGTGAAGGATTCCAGCTTGGACTTCAAATTCCACTTGTACACGAACATGGACTTGGACTTGGATTTGGTTGCGAATTCCGGAGCGGACTGACTGACGTGGCCCGTCACTCGACGCGTCGTGTTTCGGTTCGTTAGGTTTGCATTTTTTACAATCACTTTGGCAGTAGTTCCTCCAGAACGGGGCAGAAAAGTACCGACCGGAGGGGCAAGTCCTGGAGATCGGAGTGGGAACAGCACGCCCTGCTGCACTTGCTCAATAGTCACTTGGATTCGCATTTTATTTACACGACATGTGAGCGAGAGCGGACAACAATTTCGACTGAATTTATTTGCAGTAGTTAAAATAAAATGCTCGGTTTTATTTTATGCAGCGGCAGCTGGGGTTCTACAAAAAAAGCTAAGGGCTGGAGCGGAGGCGAGGTTGTTTATTTTGATTCGTATTTTATTTTGGTACTTTGCAGTGTGCCAAGCAAGGTAGGTCAGTTTTTTTGTTGCTGGGAGCTTCGGTTTGATTTCTGCGCTTGGGCCTTTGATTCGCAGCTTGTTTACAGCCAGCTCAAAGGGGATTTCGTTTGATTATATGGAAATGTGGCGGGGATTTGCTTCGCAAGTAATTGGGAATTTTTTTTGCGATATAAATCTGACTGCATATTATTATTCTGCAAATCGTTGTGGGTTAAGAGTTACGAGTTTTTGCGAGTGTAAATCGCTTTACGGGAGTTTGATCGGTAAATAATTTGTACATTGGAGCTTGCGGACTGGGAGTTTATATCAAATAAAATATTGTATTGAGTAATTTTCTTAATGAACTATGTTGAAAAAGTAAGCTTTTAATATGAAATCTTTGCAATTCATGAATGAAAATATAAAGTAATTTGAATTAGTGCAATTTCATACATGTACGAATATTTTTATTATTATTTGTCTTGTTTTTGTTATTCCCCTTTTCTGAGTCCTTTTATTATTCCATTTTTTTTCTATGCTACAATTTTAATCATATTGGATGCTCAATTTGCCACTTCACTCGCTTCACTCAATCCAATTTCCTTGGCACAAAAAAAAACCGCATCAATTAAAAGAAAAATTTTACTGCTGACTCGGACAGAAAGATAAGAAAAAAACAGAGACCATCAAGGAGATTGGCAAATTGCTCAGTCCGATGTTTCCGTTTGATTTCCATACAGCTGTCCATATGTGCTCCCATTCAAAGTTTTCTTTGGCCTGTTCACCTGTCAAAAATATGCATGGGCTTCTAAAAAAAATAAAATTAATCCATTCCTCACCCATCGAGTGCATGCAATTGTGCAGTAATATTTCTTTGCTAAAAGTTTTCCTGTTTCATATTTCTTGTTATTTCGTAGATGATTTCTCGGAGTCATGATTTATTGACATTTCCATTTACGGCTACATAAATGTTTCAACGCAAATGCCGGAAGCGATTTGTTGGTTTTTACAGCATTTTTTCTCAACCATTTTCCAAGAGTTTGTGTGTGTGCAGCTGCAGTCTCAGCTGCAGCTCTAAAATATTGCCAAGACCCCAGAACCGAGTGAGTGCAAATCAAAATGCAAAACGGAAAACCAACAAGGAAACTCAAATGCTGGCCGGGGAGTCGGAGCATAAGTCAAAAGTTGCTACTTGCTGCGCTGCTCTGTTGCTTTCTACTCTGCTCTTTGCTGTTTTCGTACACTGCAATCTTAGGAATTAAATTTATTAAAATACAATATACAGAAAGGATCATGGACAATATATTTTTTTTATGAAAATAAACATTATATTTTGTTAAAAAAATGTAAACTAATCTTTAAGCCTATTTTGCTTGTTAAATGCAATTAAAACCAATGAATAAACATTTAAATGCAAAAAGCTAAATATAAAAGTGAAACTAGAAAAAAATATGTAATGTGTATGTTTCTGGGTAATGTTGAGGTAATCCAATCCCTAACTAATAAGGTAATTTTTCTGAGTGCATGGTTTGTTTGCTATTTGGTAAGTGGAAGTCTGGCGACTGCCACGCCTTTTTCCATTCTCCATTTTCCCTCTGACCCCCAATCCCCGCCTACACAAAGAAATATGAACTGTTTTCCTTTCGCTTAAACGAGGCCTCTCCGGTCGGCAACTAGGTGAGTGAGCAGCGTATCAAAGGAAATGGTGCAAAAATATGGCACGCGGTAAGCAGCAGCCCCAAAAGCCGCCTCAAGGGCCGCCATCTACTCCGACAAACTGCTTTTTGGTAGCTGGCCAAGATACTTTTCAACAACTTTTGCCCAAGACTCGCGAGTCAAAGTTTTCCGGCGAAGCTGGCACACACAAAAAAAAACCAGGAAAATAGCGCACAAAAAAAAACTAGTGGAGAAAGGTCCTGGAACAGTCGAATGCCCGTCTGGCATTTTTGCAGTTCCCGGAATACTTTCCGTTTTTCGCCGGTTAAAGGAATGCTTCTGGCCCATGCGGCGTATGTGCGATATTTCGGTTAACTTACCCTGAGCGGAGGTGCAAGTGGTTAGCTGCGGTGAATAGCGGTCCGTCAGCCGCTTAATCACATCGATCTGCTCCAGAGTGAGTTGCACTGCATCGCGATGTTGTGCCTCACAGGGAACGTAGGCGGCCCAGAACTGAAAGCCAAAAAAATTGCAATAAATAACTATCAAGGTGATTAAAACTTACACGAAAACAAATTTTTTTTAAATTTATTTATCTAAAAAAATCATTTTTATGTGAAATGTTAGGGCTAGTAAATATTTTCGTAAATGTTTCTTTTTGATTTGGCCCCACCATAATTTAAATAAATTCTTTATGAATAGAATCGTTTTTAAAGAAACGACTATTATTTTCCATTCATTGTTAGGAAACCTTTTTTAAATAAATTAAATACATTTCGATGGCTAAAAGTGCATATTCATTACCCATATTCGTTTAAGCTCACTAAATATTAATTGAAAATGTTTATAAAGTACAATAATTTCCTAGTAACCCCATAAAAACTTTTTTTTACCTTTTCAAAAGTATTTAAAAAAGGGCGTTGCTAGTGTAGTGAACCCTATTCCTACCGAAAAAAGTTTTCAAAACTTAAAAATTATTATATACCATTTCAAAGTTTTCTTCTTAAGTCTCCACGATTTATTGTCATTTTTTGCAGCATCTGAAAGTTTTGTGTTAATTGCACATTATTACGAAGGGTGATATACAACCTCCTATAAACAGGAACTCCTCAAGAGAGTGCCCTATAAGGAGCAGACAAGAAAAAGTGAGCAAAACAGTTTCATCACGTTATATCATTAAAGGAAAATAAAAGCTCGTACGTGTCTCCGTGGAACAGAAACCAAAATGAGGAACGAGCTGGAAAGTGGCAAAAAGCGATTCGGAAAAAAGAGCAATTAAAAAGTTTTGGCTTTTTGCTCCGCACACTCGCACAAAAGCGAAAACTGAAGGAAGTCCCGTAATAAATAATTTTTAATATAAATTCGTGAGAGGCCCGAACCAGAAACCCGGAAGAACAAACCATGGAAACATACCCTATTTCTCCTCCACTTTTTTCCCCCGTGCTAAGCACGTAGTTTTAAACCATTTCTCTGGGCCGAGGCAGTAAATTAAAACCATAACAAGCAACACTCTAAATGTTCATTTGTTCCGTTTCTCTGCTGTTCTGTTTCTGCAGCTGCTGACGATGATGATGATGAGGATGGTGATAAAGTTTGGCGTAATTCATGGAGCTAAATTCGGTTTGCTCCCAGGTTGGCCGAATTGCATATGAAATATGTAAAACTTTTCAATAAACGAGTCACAGAAAAACAATTACGACCAGAGATGGACTGCTGTGTGTGGTGTTAGTTGTGCAATTGGATTTGTGCTCTCCGACTCTGGGGGGACTTGGGTCAACTCGGTTGTTGGCTCTGCATTTGTGCAATTTTAATTGCACAACAGACGAGGAAATTTGTGGATTTCCAAGCACCTGCTTTGCTCTGCTCTGCGCTGCGCTGCTCTCTCCCATTTGGCCAAATAAACACTGTACAATAACAGGGACAGCTGAAAATTCCGTTTGGGAGGCATAAAGTTTATCCACCTGAACCTGGGGAAAACCCATTTCCCAGTGTTGATTTTTAGTTAAGCTTCCCGGGCAACTCACTTATGCATACCAGCCCCGAAAAACCCCAGCTACGTTCATAGGGTTCCGGGACTGAGGGGCTTATCGGATGACCAGAGAACAGGGCATTAGTTCAATTCGGGTTAATTGTATGGACCATGCCGCACTAACTCTGTCCATTACCATTTGCGTTCATTTGCGCTCCTGGATTTGGGACTCGGAATTCGAGGTGTTTCTGTGCTTATGTTTTCCGGGTGAAATAATGAAACGCCGGGATAAATGATACTCGTGCTAATGGTTGTGTCTGGGTTCCGGCTTCAAAAACCTGTGAAAAATCTGGTTGCAGTGAACATGCGGTATATTCGTCTATATCGGGTAATTAGTTAAATTACGAGGAATAAGCCATAGCTAAAAAGTATTTTTGCAAAGGAAAAACTTCTATTTTTGAAAAGAAAATAAAAAAGAATTTTAAAAAAATGTTTTGATCCCCTACTGTGAATATATTTATGCCTCTAACCCTTTCCCATTTATCGATTTAATAAGAACTCGTTTTTTTGCTGTTTCTCTCACATTAAAAACCAAATAAAGAAATTTACATTAAATTCTTTTTTTGGTGCTTGGCGTTGAACATTTCCAGGTAGATAAGAAAAATGCCCCGACATAACCGCAGACAGAGAGCTCGGAAGTATGGGGTGAAAACTCATTTTTTCATCCGTTCTCCCGCCGCTTTGTTCGCGTTATTTTCCACGCGTACTTTGAATTTCTCTGCACAGCATGTGCCCCTTTTTTGTTAGCGCCGTTTTCTTTAATTTTTTCTGTGCAAAGCCTCTTAAAACATTTTGGTGGGCATTCAAACGGGTTTTTAGGACTGCGATGGTGTGAAATGTCTGTCTGGGCTTTTTGATTGAAGGCAACAGGTACAACGCGGCGTATGAACAAATCATTGAAACCGCGTTTCTCATGGGACGATTGCGGTGCTGCGGTATTCTTTTATATTTTTCTAAGCTTCTATACTAAGAAAAAATACTTCTTCATATTAATATATAAGCTATAAATGTATATCAAAGTTGTAATATAACATTATATGTTAATACATTGACTTATGTACATACAATTTTTGTTTCGATGGGTATATCCTTGTTTTAAAATAATTGTTTACCAACGCTTGCTTTATTTTTCTCGCAGTTATTATTATTTGTTTTTCTCGCTATTTTTCTCCTTATTTTTCTCTCAATTCCCAGCTATATGCAGCACTTGCCTTGTTGGCATATTCAATGCAAGTTGGCATTCTTTGCTTTCTCTTAGCGAGCAAAATATTTCATTTATGTTGGGGTCTCCTGCGGCACCTGTTGATGGTTGTATTATACCATTTTAGCCCACAGCCTTTCCCCGTGTTTTACATATATGACTTTACAATGGCCAAGTACCTTAGTTTGTCGGGTTGCGTTGTGGAACTTGGGGTTGGCTTTTGTGTACACGGCTTTCTGGGGCGCCTTCGAGTGTGTTTAAGAACGGCACTTTGCCATTATCCCACTGCCCCGCCCACGCCAAAATACACCTGTTTGTCGCCCCTGCAGTGCCATCGTTATCCTCATCATCGTGGCCAAAGTGTCGTCAGCGTCTCGATGGCGTCGCCTTTGGTGTTTTGCTGTCCTCGCAACGGTAGTCATCAGGCTCATCATCGCCTCCATTCCCCAGTTTCCAGTTCCCAGCTCTCAGTCCCATTTTCACCCCCACATCCTGGGCACAAAGCATATTAATATTTAAACTTGTTTGGCGGTAGCAACAGGAACAACAGCAGCCAACTCCCTTAAGGACAACATTTTGGCTTGAAGTTAATTGTGAATCTGACAATGTTGTTGTTGTGGTGGCGTTGGCCATATGCGTGATTTGTTGTCGATGGGTGGCACGTGTGAATGTGTTTGCCCTTCATGGCTGTATGTGTGTGTGTGTGTGGGATTATGCAGGCGAAAAAAATGCTTCTAAAAATACCCTAAAAGGATATATTTAGGGATAAGGCATTAGCCCTGGATTATTAAAAAGTCAATTAAATGGAAAGCACGTTCAAATTCGAAAATATAATTTCGTTTTAATTGATTTATTGAAATAAAATTGACAAAACATTTTTGGGAGCAGATGTAAAATATATATCGTGGATTTAAAGGATATTTTAGGCAGAAATCAAATATATTTGTATGTTCTTGAATATCTTAGAAGTATGTTATTTCAAGCATACTGGAAACATTTTGGTGATATGGATCACTACGAATTTTTGCTCCGTGCAAATTTGTGTGTCTCTCTGCGGTTACTTGTGCAACCTTGTTGCTATTATTGTTAGAGCATTCATATATTAAAGTCAGCAGAATACACAATAACAAATGCAGCGCCAGCTGGGACCGGAGGTTGCCCAGAGCGTTCAGATTTATGTGTGCATACACTTATAGACACATATATATTTGAATTCAAGGTCCTGCTTTAATTTTTGGACGAATTTCAATTGCAAAGCCAGCATTAAATAAATAATTTAAATGCTTTGTATTTATGGGTTTGAACAGGCCTCTTAATTAGAATTTACCACGGCAATATAATAAATATATTCATATTTGTAAAAGCATTTAATCAACATTTCAGACTCGGAACTCGAGGATTTTTGGTGTCACTTTTGTGCACAGCAGAATGCGATGAATGTGTTCGTTATGCATTTAAAATTATTTCCGCCCTTGGGCATCTCTGCATTGGATTGCATTGCGGCTTTGCAATGCATACCATAATTACAGGCAAAAGGATGGAGTAGTAAGGGAAATGGCCTGAAAGGGAATGCGAAGCCCTCCAGCTTGCGGTGAACAACAAAAACCGCAGGTCCAACACCTTTACAATCCCACAAGAATGTAACAAGCCCGCAAAACAAATCCCCTCAAAACCAGAATCATTCCGGCAAGAATAAAAATTGTATGGAGTTCTCTTTGGGTCAGGTTCTTGTCCGTTTTTTTTCATTTTGGACTGAGGTGAGAGGCTACTTCCGTTTCTATCTCTGCTTCTGAAGTCTGACCAACACTAAATACTTTCTGAAAGTAAATATAAATTTCAGGCCACTGTTGCAGCAAGATAAGCGTTTTTCGCAAAGAAGAAAAAACTTAAGAGAAATTCGAGATAGGAGACGAATTTTTAAACACACTTAAATAATTAATTTTGGAATTGTTAAGTTAAGTAAAAATTAATTTAGACATTTTAAAAGTCTTAAATTGTATTTATTATGCTCTTGGACTAATAAATATAAAAAATAAGTTGAAAAGGTGGTTTTTCTTATTGAATTGAGAAAAGCTGAAATATTGCATTATTAAAGCAAAGTTAATGTATGGTTTTTAAATAAATATTAATAAGTGGTTCTTGTCTAAACCTATCAAAATACGTATACCCACTTTAAGGGTACAGAGGCACAGAACAGCCGTAACACGATTGCGTGTCCTCCATGTCCTGCATGCCCTGAATGTCCTGGAAGTCCTGGCCCAGATTACAGCTTCGTCGTCGTCGACTCTTCGCTGTGGCCACTTCCGCTCCAAGCGCGTCCTCGTCCTTGTTTCAGCTACTGTTTCGATGTGTGTGCACTTTCCATTAGGCTGACTCTCTCTCTCGTTGTCTATGTGTGGGTTTGCGAAGGAGAAGGAGGAGGACTAAAGAGGATACAAGGAGGAAAGGAAGAATGCAGGCGGCCATGCAACCGGACAAGCGTAACACGACGTTTCCGTGTCCCGGCCCCAAAAACAGTAGCCAACTTTTTGGGTCCTCGTGATGTTTCAACATTGTTGCTACCTGTTTCTGGTCTTCTCCTCATTTACACAGCAAGGAAAACAAAATTCCACGGATCTATACATCTAGATTTCAAAATTATAAGATTATTATAAAAAGGGTTTTCATTAATTTACTAAAAGAATATAGCTTGGAGTTCAATTCTTTTGTTATCAAGTTAAATTTAAAAAACTTTTTTCAACCAATATCAGGATTTTCATCAAAACAGTATTTTTTTTAATATTTATTTTTATTTGCTTTAAAAATATACAACAAACTATTATAGCCCCCGTTTTTTCTTTAAGTATTTATCCCGATCTTTTCTATTTCTCATCATGGCGTATCCTTGGGCACAGATGTTGGCTTATGGAGGAAAAAGGATGAGCCGCTGAAAAGTCATGGCCAACCTACAAGATTTTGAGTACTTGATGGTTTAAACGTGATTTTCCAGCAAGTCTATTAAACGCTTTTTTCTCACATATCTCTTCTGCTTTTTTGGGGATTTTCCCTACGGTTTTCAGAGGCGCATTCGTTGCACGTTTGGCATTTTGGGTAGCAATTGTTGAAACATGTTGTCAACTAGTTAGTCGCCACGTTGTTGACTTGTTGTTATGGCTGTTTTCCTCATTCCATTTTTGTTGTTATTCAGTAGAGAGCGGGTTTATTGAGTTAACTTGTTTTGCCGGGAATCGAGTGTTGCTAAAGTTTTCAAATCGCAGTTGCGCAACACATTAAGCCAGAGCTATAAAAAACTATTCAGATGACAGGCGCACGTTTATGAGTCCAGTAGGAAGTAAGGATAAAAAATAAGGCTTCCCAGGGAAGGTTTATTATACAATTGATAACTCCTAAAAATAAATTGTTTCATTAATGTTATATTTTATTCGGGCTAAATTGACTAAAATATTGGTTTTTATAATAATTACTATTACTTTCTACTTCAAATCTAACGACGCAAAGATTTCATTTCAACCCTCTTTATGGCCATAAACTGCAGCTTCAGAAATTGCATAATATTTTTCACAAGGAAGCCGTCGTCTGAAGGAGTTACTCAAAGGAAGCCGCGTCAACAAGTTCAATTAGTTAACCGAGGAAACCAGAAATTGCCGCAATAACTTGGCACGCCCATCGAACAAGAAATCAAGAAGTTTTCCCTTGCTCACATGTGTGAGTGGCTATGCAAGGTTTCCCCAGATGGAAAATGAAAGGAAAATAGGTGTGAGGTGCCATTAATTTGAGTCGTATCGCGGCTGTGGAAAGTGTTAAGTTTTAATAAGCATCGCGTTTAGTGCACCATAAAAGCCAGCCCTCAGGAAAGACTGAAGCTTTACAGAGAAAAAAAATTTTCGGGAATATTAAGAATTGAATTCTTTAACTTTTATGCATTCATCTGGCTTTGACTTTATTTGTTATAAGATATTAGCCAATTGTTTTCTAATTATGTTCTAATATAAATGTCACTAAATTCTTATAGCTGAACAATTATTGGAGTTGCATGTTTTCTTCCGTGTATCAATTTACTACACACTCCCTATTTCTGTGATTACATGAGTCAGGGCTCGAGCCATTTGGCTGGGTAATTAAATTGAGTGCTGCATAATTTTACTTTGCGGCTGCCAACTTTGCTTGTAGTTGGCCAACTGCAAGTACCTGTTAGCCCTCAACACAAACACAAAATGCATCCGAATTTATGGCTCTGAAGGGAGCCAATGTAAAATGCAATGGAAAAGTTAATTTTCATTATGGCCTAAGCAGGTGGAAATTCCCGCTTTCGCTTTTCCTCCATTACCTTTCGCTGGCACATTTCTCTTTCTCTCGCGGCGAAACGTGAAAAATCGTCTTTGCGGTTGGGTTAAGGAAAATGCAAAGGGAAAAAGGGCAGTGGAAAATTCTCTGGACAATTTGAAATATTCAAGTGGTTTTCGGTCTTCCATTGATTTATGAACTTTACCCAGGTTAATCGTTTCCTACTTTCGGTATTTTCTGGCCAGTTTGCCTCATTAATCTTGGTTGCTCTGGCCACGTCAATCATTAGGAATTCCCTCTCCATTCCCAATTAGTTCAGCAATTTCAGCAGTTAAAACGTGAGCCATATCATTTGATCTGTTTACTCATTCTCCACGAAGGCACTTTAAATAAGGCCCACAAATTTCGCTGGCTTGCAATCGAACCATAAGCGAATCAATAACGACGTCAAGTGGATATCCGTCCACTCTTGGCCGGTAGCTTGGCAAAAAATAATTAAGAACCTCATCATCGGCAGCAGCAGGAGCAGCTTCAGGAGCATCCTGTTCCTGAGCTCCGTGAGTGGCTCATAATTAATGTTTTTCGTGCCTTATTCCGCAGACTGAGAGCCAAAGTCGCCTGTTGCCTGGACAACGACTTGCCGGCAGATAAAATATTAAAAGATATTTTTCGGTGTAACAGTCAAGAAGACGGGATGCCCTTATAGAGCCCTTAAGTCTGGGGATATTTTTAGAAAATCTACGAATGAAAATAAGTATTCTGTTGAAAAAAATATAATGCTTACTGCTTAAATTATTTATTTTTATTTCCTTTCTCGTAAACCCCTTTCCCGTTTAGTTTAGTAAGTCTATTATATTTTTGGTCTAATATTTTTTGAATATATTAGACAAATAGAAATTATTTTTTCCTATTCTATTTATATTATAAATACCCAATTAAAAATGAAATATGAGGCAAGCTCAACTCGCTTGTATTAATAAACTAGTTTTACCAAGAATGACAATAAAAAAAATCCAATTAAAAGTCAATTCCAAATCATTGTTTTTGAATAAAAGCCTTTCAATATTTTTGTGTCTTGCTGAGTTTTGTTCAAACCGTATTTCAACAAACAACTTGTTAAGCTAAATATATAATTGAATGCCCGCAATAAACGAAAGTACCCAATTTAAAGCCCCGACTAGAGTATTAAACTGCCAAGTTCAGTTTAAGCTACGTGCAATAATAATTCCAGGTGCGCGGCTAGAGGTGTCCTGAAAGGAAGAGCGGCCACTTACCTGTGCTGATATGCGTCCCTTCTTCAGTCGCGTGAGGTCCGTGTGACTCCAATGGCTGCGACCCCAGGGCATTACATTGCGCAAATCCTCATCAAAACTGCGGATGGCGGGCGGTGGGCGGTGGACGGTGGGTGGGGATAATAACACAAATTGGTATTAAATATTAATTGCATTTCTATGTGATGGATACTCATACTTGAAGTCATTGAGTTTGTTGTGCAGGAACTTGCGAATATTCCAGGGTAAATCGTTATGCCCGTCGATTAAAGGCACTTGATCCAGCAGCTGAACAGCCACTCGCAAACGCTCCTCAAAAGGGGCACCTGTAAATGGGTTTGGCGAACTATAATGGCGATAATTGGAACAAATAATCCGCGTTCTTTTCTGTGTTCTGTTTTTTATATTCCATCCCAAATAAAAATGTTTATAATATAAGCACTTCAATTCAACTTGATTTCGAATTCGAATACTTAAATTAGCTTAGATGGTGCCTGTTATTTTGGTAAACAAATTTTCATTTTTTTAAATTTGATTGAAGTGAATAAAGTGGAGTATATTACTTTACAATTTCGTTTACAAATAAAAATATTTTATTTTTACTTTTACGGGGGGAAAGATTGTTTTGCTAGGGAATGAATAGATTTTTTAAGATGCTTTTGAGTTTAAATATTACTATTTCACTAAAAAATGTTAAGTTCAAACAAATTTTTAAGCTGATTCATTTTTATAAGATTTTTAAATTTCATATTAAAAGTAAGAATAATAGATTCTTAAATCATCTGTCATCTATTCGACTATCTGATATTACATGATAAACAGTAGTATCTCAATCTCTATCTGCCTGCAACAGCATCACTTGCTAACTAACTTAGAGGCCTGCCACTAAGGACACCCACTTGCTGGACTTGCTACAGAGAGTTACTGCAGGGACCGGCCAACGTGTCGAATGCGTTAAGGTAATTGATTTATTGTCTATCGAGTATGGAGTGTCCGTGTCGGTGTCTCAGCTTTGGATCTGTGTTGGGATGCTGTGATGTTGGGACGTCGGGGCTTGGGGTTCCCCGCTCGGAATCGATTCGATGCGATACTCACTTGCTGCCACACGTAGCGCCAGTGGCACGGCCACACTGGCAGCGCCAATTATCAGTAGGATGGAGCTCACAGCCAGCCAGTGCTTGGCTGCATCGAATCCTGCAAGTTTCCAGGACGAGAAGATATTGCAGGAGGTGGCGTCATCAGCATTCATGATGGCCAAGGGTTCCACATCGATTGTTGTCGTTGTTATTGGCAGTTCAATGCCAAGTCGTTTGCAGCATCGTTGTCATCATCATCATCATCATCGAGATGGTGGTTCATTGTTCATTGTTCGTTGTTGTGTTGCATTTTGTGTGTGTGCAAATTGCCGTGACAGTGGCATTGATTACAGCAGCAGCAACAACAATGGCAGAAAAGCATCAGGAAAATCAGGAAAAAAGCATCAGTGCAGGAAAGCACAGTGGCATCATCATCCACATCAACATCAAGTTGCGGCGGTCGAGAAGGAAGCAAAAAAGAAACGATAATAAGGAAATATGGTTAGTTAAACGTTTAAAATTGAGTTGCTTTGTTGGTTTTTGGTTACACAAAACTAGTAAGGGGCAAGACATCTTCAAGTTGTTTTTTGCCCTCGAGATCCCAATAAAGTTAAGTCCAGTTCGATCAAGCAGAACAACTTGTTGGATATGTGCTGAAATTAGCTCACAGGGAGGACTCGGATTTTGTAATTCAAGAAACGTTTCCCTTGCCGGGGAAATGTTTTGCTAGCTGCTTTTTTTTTTGGTAAATGTAGTTTGAGCTCCTAATACAATCGACAATATAAATTTTTGTTTTTGGTATCATTAAAGAAATTGACTTGTTGACAAATAGAGGTTCCCTATCATTTCTGGTTTGATATTTTATAAACAATTTTTATTATTTGATATACAAATTTTTGTTAAGTGCTTTCAAATAAAACTAAAATAAATAAAATAGTTTGAACTAAAAAATAAGTAAGACACTGTATTTATCTTGTCTCTCGATAAACTTGAATGAATGTCTATGTCGGATTATGCAACATATATTATTAAGAAGCTAAAATTTAAATGTATAGTCATAATTTCGAATTTAAATTCAGCTTAAAAGCTTTTGTATCAACTCAAACATAACAATAAGACATTCAAATTAAATCCTATATAATATGAGCTTCGGATGTTCGGCCTTTCAAACAAAAGCATAGAGTATGTAATGACAAGACGATTCGACTGTAACTAATACTTCACAGATTCCGTATTGTTACTAATTACTTCATACATCGAATGACTTACAAGATATGTAGGTATACACCCCCCCACTCATTGAATGAAAATATAAGCCACATGATACTAAAGCAAAGCTGTTCAATGGAAATGCAAATCTCATTATACGATTTCACTTATGCCGACTATCAATGACGTCTGGTAATTTGTAATTGCAAACCAAATTTGATTATGCAACTAAATCCGATTGATAAGGGCGAATGTAGATGTGTGACTAACGCTGAAGCTAAGCAAATAAGCCAAGTGAGGCGAAAAACTAGCTGGTGCTCTGTAGATTTGGGATTGAATTCGGGCTCGGACTCAGCCAGCAGAAAGAGCGATGGCTGCAATGTATCCATTTGATTACAGTGGCCGGCACTTGGGCGACTCCAAAGTGAATTACCGATAAGCAAGTGGCAAATGAAAGGCAATGTGCAACCTAGCGAGAATCGAGGGTACGTTGCTACATGAAATAGAAATGTGTGCACTGAGGCAAAAATTATATCTAAATTAATGTATATATTTAATTAAGGATATTCATTTCAAGCTGTATAAAATGCTCAAATGCATCAATATAAATTACTTTTAATATATAATGAATTTTCTCGTTAAAGCAAGTTTATTTATGGATAATTTGATAGAGCTCTTTTTGTATGATAGTGCTGATCACTAAGGCAAAATATAATTTTTAAAGTATGCATTTAATAAAGGAATAAATTTCTGTATTCTTTATATTAATTAAAAGATGATTGGAGCTGATTTTTTAATGCCATGCTAAGGTTTTAATTTAATGACCGAACATTTCTTTGTCACTTTTGTTTTGCCTACCAACAAACTTTAATTAGCTAATCACATTTATTAAGAGTTTTCCCTTAGAGCAAATCTAACATGATATGAAAAAGTCAAATTTTTTATAAACAGCAGTTGACCATGACATTGACAAATCAGCCTACAAACTACTAAGCCAAATTTGAATTTATTATTAAAGTTCTCCGATTGCGATTATAATTAGATTCTTAGTTTTCTGCCAGTGTAAAGAGTCCGGTTGGCAGCGGCGGCACCAGCGATTTGCATAAATTTACGGGGACAGGACATCGTCCACAGTTACGCAGTTTTTGACTGCTAACGAATTGCAGTTGCCAGGAGACATGACGAGGATGGGAATAAGCTGGAGACTGATGATGATGACGGGGATGGTGATGGGATGGAGATGACTATGACGATGACTACGTTGCCGCCTGCTGATGTTTCTGCTGATGATGATGAGACCAAAGTCACACGGGCATTGGCAACGTTTAACATTTAGCAGCCATGTTACATGAAGCGCAATCAAACGGCTAACGACTAAATGGCAATGCCCCCAGGGGGCGTGGCACAGCATCAGCGAACGGGTAGCGGAATATTAAGTGCAATGTCATGTACAACGTCTGGCACAACTACCACGCAAATACCGATGCATACAGCTCGCAAAGAGACAGCGAAACGTCATAAAATTCCATCTTAAATGGGTATTTGAAATTGACCGTTTCGATGTAAAGGCTTAGAGCTCCAGTAAAATTTCGGTTTTTAATGCAATATTAAATCTTGGCAAAGATGTTAAACCATACAGTAAAATTAGCGCGAACAAATATTAAGGCTTATGTAAGTTTTAAATTCGCGGATAAAAATGAACAAATTGATTAAAAATGGAAAGCGACTAAAAGAAAGAAAGTGGAAACAATTACAAAAATGCCTTGAACTTATTTAAAAATTCCCAAAAAAAAAAGTTCAAGAATCTTTTAGTTTTTTTTTGGTATTATTGCATAATCAATAAACTTATACTATAAATATTTCTTATTTTCTCCTGATCTTTTTTTTGAACTGCTTGAGTTGGATGATATCTTATATAGTAAATACTAACTCAACAAAACTTATAATATTAACAAGTAAAAACTAATAATAAAATAAAGATAATTCATCATATTGTTTAGTATTTAACTATTTCTCCATTTAGAATTAGCACAAAATAAGTTTTTTTATCTAATAAGAAAATACTTTTGTAGTAATCGGACTTGTTTTGTCTATTGATTAGACTGCGCAAAAATTACAACGAAGAAGCGCTGCGAACATTAATCCTTTTTAAAACAGTACGCCCGAAAACACAATCCGCAATCCCCTGTACTTACGGAACGAATTCGTGCCGGAGCTGGAGGATCCCCGACTGGGACATTGTCGGTGCTTCCACGGCATAATGCTCGTGACGCTCGAGTGGAGCTGGTGGTGTTTCTGCGGCGTAACCGAACCCGATCCGCCTGCCCCGCCCACCGCAGCACCACCCACGTGGGCGTGATAATGGTGCGGATGCGGATGGGAGTGCGTATGCGGATGCGGATGGTGTAGAGATGTCTGGGATTCGCGTTCTTTGAGGCCATGTCCGATATCGCTGTCGAAGGAGGTTAGCGTGAATGTGGATGAGGCTGCGAGGCCCAAGCCACCATTTGCCATCGCCCCACTCGGAACAGTATTTGCCGACATTTTCTGATACGGCACACGGCAGCCACCGTTACCACCGGATGAGCCATCGATGTTCACCAAATTGCCAAAGCTGCGACTATTAATTGGCAACGTCCAATCCATGCTGCTGGTGTGAAAGATTGCCGGTTGCTGTGGGGTCTTCTGATGTTGCTGTGGGGTCTGGTGTTGCTGTTGCGTCTGGTGTTGCTGTGGGGTCTGATGCTGTTGCTGCTGCTGCGGGAAACTGAGCAGCGATTGCGAGAAGCAGCGACATCGCTGCTGCTGAAAGTGCGCCATTTGTTGCTGGTGGTGTTGCTTCTGCAGGTAGCGACTGTAGTGGGCCAAATGTCTTGCATAATCGCTGCTCGGCCCAATGGTATTGTATTTCGAGGATGCATTACCACCTGGCAGGAAGCACAGGCTGGGATCCGATTTCTTCGAGTGTGGCGAGAATATCTCGTCCTCCTCGTGGGCGGCAAATGGGGTCGGGGGCGGGTTGGTGGGCGTGGCATTGTTGGGTAGCTTGTGCCTGTGATTATGGGCGTGGCCAGGCGGTTGGCAAAGGTCTGGCTTCACCTGATTGTTGTTATTTTGGCAAATGTTGCTCGCGTTGTTGCAATTATTGCTGGCGTTGCTGTTGCAGTTGCAGTTGCTGTTGCTGCTGCTGTGATTACTGGTTGTGGTGCACTTGAGCAATGTGGCAGTGCATTCATCCAATGCCGATTTAGTGCAATCCTGCAACAGATCACTGCTGCACAACTGCGACAAGTTATTATTGTTGCTGCTCTGCTGCTGCAGCTGCTGTTGTTGCTGCTGCAGATGTTGCAACAATCGCAGGCTGCGCATGCTGCCGTTGCGTTTCATCGACGGCGGTGGCGGCACAGGTGGTATAACATCCACATCCGACAGGCTGGGCGTGTCGCTCTGGAAAGAGAAAGATGGAATTGAGTATCAAAGCTGTTGACAAAAGGGAAATCGCATTAAATCAATATGGACATGAGCAGCTTCCGGCGGAAGTAACCCCACAACGTGCCTTAAAAAGGATTCAACTAGGGATAACTCTGATTTACTCTGAGCTGATAAAAAATGTGAAATGCTCTTTCTTTAAGAAAATTCATAATAATATGAAAAAAATAATAGGTAAAAGAATTTTGATTTACCAAGATTCTACAAGATTACTTTTTACTTTAAGCTAATTTCTTGGAGTTTCAGTTACTAGATTTATAAATAAATGTTTTAAAAAGGTACATAGCCTATGTTACTTTAAGGTTGAAGATAATAAAAATGTAATCTTATTTATAATTTTATTTTTATAGAGATGACAACGCTTTTATCCTGAATTCTTGAAACTACCTGTAACCATTAAAGTTCTCTCCTGGAGAGGATAATAAAAACTGCCTTTCAATACTATAAAAACTTTCGCTCCACTCGTAACGAGCCCCAAAAAAATGTGCAACGCACTCTTTTTGACGTTACTTGGCGAAAATTTGCCAGAAGGAGCCTGAGATTTACAATGATGGGGCAAAGTGTGGAAGAGTGAAGAAGCTCCTTTGACCCCCTGGCTACATAAAATTTAATTATGCCATAGACACCGGGGCAGACTGAAAGACTCCCACACACACACACACACACACACGCATAGAGTGCCATAAAAGACGTGCGAAAAAGGCCAAGAAAAAGGTTTATCCCCCGAATTCTCACAAAGTTTCCCAGAGTCGAGGCCATGCCAAGTGCCCTAATTGAATTTGCTTCGGTCAGCATCAGCATTATCATCATCATCATCATCATCATCATCGTCATCGTCATAATCATCGACAGGCGATGCTTAGGGACTTGAAATTGAATTTCAGTTACGGGAAATACATTTGCATTGATTTGCTTCCCTTCACCATTTTTGCCTTTTTTTTTGGTGGAATTATTTTTATGCGTCTGGGCGAAACGAAACGCATTGCCATTAATAAAAATTTCCTTTGAATTTTGATTGCTTTATGCCCAGTCCCGGGGAATGTCTCGAACACCTCGCCCCTTGGCTCGTTATTGTTGTCTGTGTCTTTTCGTTGATTATTTTTTTATTTACTTTGTCTTGTCCTTTTCAATGGCGGTGTCGTGTCCTGTCGCATCCTGTCCGCTGCTTAAGTGGAAATTGAAATTTTCATATTTTCATTTGATAATTTATATATTCTTTTGGCCCTCCGCCTGATGACAGCTCAAATAATTTATGCAAATATTTAGCGGTGGCGTGTGCTGCATATTTTAAGACAGGGCAATTTGTGTTCATCTTTTTTTGATTTTCTTTTTCCATTTTGCATCTTTCGGTTGGTACTTGTTGTGGAGAGGTTAATTGTTGTTGTCAGTTAAATCAGATCAAATTTGCAAATCGAAATTATCCCAGGGCTTTTTTAAATCAAAATATTTGACAGACATAAGACACAATTTCCGATATTAATTGGTAGCTCAAGGCCAGCCATTGTTGTAATTATTTTGTTAAGTGAGAATTTAATAAATTCTTGTATGAAAATAAGAAAACAAATTGAAATTCAATATGGATGTTTCCTATCAAATTCAGTTCATTTCAGTTTTCTTAATGATTTTTAGATCTCTTTAAATTAAATTGAAATGCAAAGTATCTTTTTCATTTTGACAACATAAAATGTCCAAATCGCTTTGTGAAAACGTTGCTACTGTATATTTAATAATTGGCAGAGCTTATGTGGCTCTTCCAACTCTTTTTACTGTATTCTCCTTTTAAATCCCCCATACTTTCCCCTTGAGCTTTGCACTCGTTACTTGCAGCTGCTGTGACGGCAAATCACTCTCTAATTAAAAGAGAGCTTTCTCTACTTTCCCTATTTTTAGTCCCTGAACCCTTTATCCACATACATATTTATAAAGCGAATAAATTCGCAAAAATGTATGCAACAGTATATGGTTATTTGGCGTTTATGCCGCAAATTTGACGCAGAGTTTATGGGGTTGGAAAAGGTTTGGGAAAATACGAGGGTAAAAGGAAGGGCTTGAAGACTTGTGGTGAACCGCATCGCGTTGCGTTTTTAAGCATTAAATTGCTTGATATATCGCCTTAGTTTTTCCTCGCGACTTTTCTCCCGGCTTTTGCCCACCCACTTTTTTGCATGGACATTTTTTCAGGATCCCCTTTCGCGGGACTCATCTTGGTGCTCTCTTGAATTATGCTTTGCGTCTTTGTCTCGTTTTAAATTTCATAATGCACATTTAATAATAATTTTTCGTCTACTTTGCTGCAATTTTGTGCAATTTTTTACTATAATTTATGTTGCTATGTAAATGTGTGTGTGCACACCCGTCTCTCTCAATTTTCTTGCTACAGTTACAACAATTTCGCCATGGAAAAAGGGCGATGGCGAGGGGTTTGTGTGTTGGGCGTAATGTTGAGTTATGGCAGTTTTGTAGTTTGCGAAAAACTTTTTTACGAACGTCTCTCTGTCTCACTTTTTCCTTCTGTTCGGGTATTTAGTTAAATGTTCGTAAAATTGAGTGTTGGTTATATTTTACTGGAACTTTGGCTGCCCTGTCCCTGAGCTGGGCTTTCCCTGCCCCGAAAATACAATCGCTTTTAATCGATTTGGCAAAAGCAATAAGCAAAAAACTTTTATAAATACTCAAGTTTGTTTTAGTTTTTCCTGAAGTCCGAGAACTCTCCCTGCCAATTTGTAATTATCCATCAGAGCTTTTAACTTTACGACTTTATCAAGGGCCATTTCGGCTTTTGTTTTGGCTTTAAAAGCCAGCTGGCCGAAAAGAAAAACTGACCAATTATTAGGGCTGTAAACGCGGCAAGTTTTGGCCATAAAAACTGCGAGTGAGGCTTATAGTGCCTGTTATATATGGCTTCTGTCCAGATTTAATTAGACGTATATAATTTTGCTATTGGCTTAACTTTTTATTAAGGTGCGGTGGTAATTATTTATTTACACAAATTGCGTATACGTCGCGTGGTCTGGACTTGTGGAAATTATTAAAATGTTTTTCCAAATATTATTTTAGAAGCATCAGACCGTTTTTGTTACAAATTGGTATTTATTTTTTGTAAGATTTTTTGTTTAAGCGGTTTGAGTAATTGTCGAATAAAAGATTTTTCTGTTCGCAGTGAAAAATACATTTTTGTTCATTTCATTCAGCTAGTCGGTCATCCATATATGAATCCATCAATCAATCTCTCCATCCTTTCCTTCAACTAGAGGATGATAAATTTAAAGCCCTTCAGAGACTAACAACTAAATGGAGCTAAATGTAACGCATAGCGTAAATAAAAACCAAAAAACGATGATACTAAATTATGTTTGCCATTTGAACAGTGAGGCGGAGACACAGAGTTTAAGGGTGACTAAGGGACAGGGAGATGCAGAGAGATGGGAAATGGGAAAGCTCTTCCGGCAGTTGGAAAAGCGCCCACGCATGCCACCAAATTGCAGCCACAATTTGCTGCAACAAACTCAACTGAAAACTGAAAACCGAAAGTGGAGCAGGCCCATGGAAAGGCATACATCAAATGTGTCAAAGAGATTTGTTATGCATGACAGGGGCCTCTGCCAGTAAGCTCGCAAAAACTGGCAGGAGCAGCTCCGAGTTTTTATAAAAGTAGATACCTTTGGGATACCCTGCAGTTTGAAACTTAAACAATTTAAAACAAGAAAGGAAAGCTAACTTCGGGCGGAGCCGAAGTTGATATACCCTTGCAGAATATTGTGTAAATTATATTGGTTGACCATAAACCCCATAAAAAATCTCAACTTCCAAACTTTACAAAAACCAAAGTTATGGCATTTTCAATCGTTCAGTGATATGGCAGCTATAGGATATAGTCGGCTATAACATTACCAAATATAATCCGATTTCAAAGTGGCATACCTCTAAAGACTTGTGGTTGGATTCTCTAAAAATGTGCATTCAAAATTTTCATTTTAGCGTTGACCAACTTTTAAACCCATTTTCATGTTGGTTATTTCTAAGTTTCCGATGAAATGCCCAAAGGTGACCCACAATTGGACTCCTAGATTCCATAACTTTACCAAATATAATCCGATTTCAAAGTGGCATAGCTCTAAAGACTTGTGGTTGGATTCTCTAAAAATCTGCATTCAAAATTTTCATTTTAGCGTTGACCGACTTTTTGACCCATTTTCATGTTGGTTATTTCTAAGTTTCCGATGAGTTGCCCAAAGGTGACCCACAATTGGACTCCTGGATTCCATAACTTTACCAAATATAATCCGATTTCAAAGTGGCATACCTCTAAAGACTTGTGGTTGGATTCTCTAAAAATCTGCATTCAAAATTTTCATTTTAGCGTCGACTGTACAAACACCAAAGTTATGGCATTTTTAATCGTTCAGTTATATGGAAGCTATAGGATATAGTCGGCCGATCCTTATGAAATTTGGTAGGTCGGATTGATTGACCAAAAATAAAAACCATAGAAAATCCCAACTTCTAGGGACTAGTTTGCGTAGAAAAGGACAGACGGACGGATAGACGGACGGACGGGCAGACGGACGGACAGACGGACATGGCTAGATCGACTCTCCTGGTGATGCTGATCAAGAATATATATACTTTATTGGGTCGGAAATGTCTCCTTCACTGCGTTGCAAACTTTTGACTGAAATTATAATACCCTCTGTAAGGGTATAAAAATGGAATGTTAAGAATCTAAAAAAACAATTGGGGTAAACAAGTAAAGGTTATTCTTTAATTAAATTAAGATCGGACTTGAATACAAAACTGGAAGTGCTCGTTTATTAAAAAAAAACATCTTAATTATCTTACAGTTTAAAAATACCTAATAGGGTAAAAATAACAACAAGGCGAGAATTTTCCGGCTGTTCAAAGGGTAAAAAGAAAAAATTTCGATTGCATTTGCAGTACCGTGCTTTATTAAACCGAAGCATATCCAAACTTCTTCAAGATACTATACTGAGTGTGCGAGTTTAAATGAAGTTAGGAGAGTGTGTGTCTGCCTGAAATGAGTAAATCTATGAAGATAAGAAACAACGTCGTTTCCCCCTAACAAAATAAGAAATTAATTTAAACAAAAAGCGACTAGATCAAATTGGTTTTCTTAATGAGGTTAAGGAACTCTTTCTTGCCAACCTCTCCATCCCCATTTATGTCGGCCTCATCGATCATTTCCTGCAGTTCCTCGTCGGTAAGTTGTTCGCCCAGCTCCTTGGCCACGCGTTTTAGATTTGCGAACGAGATCTTTCCAGTGCGATCGTCATCAAAAAAGGAGAAGGCCTTCATCATGTCCTGCTTGGAGTCCTTCTCTGCCATTTTCTGGCGCATCAGATACAGGAAATCGTTGAAGGCAATCCTTCCCGTCTTGTCCTTATCGATTTCATCCATCATGCGCTTGATTTCCTCCTTTTTCGGCTCGAATCCTAGGGCGCGAATGGCCACGCGCAGCTCCTTGGTTTCAATAAAGCCAGTACACTGGGTATCGAACAAATCGAAGGCCTTCTTAATGTCCACCTTCTGAGACAGCGAAAGGTCAAAAGTCGGCAGCTTAACCCTTTGTTTTCGCTTCGACTTGCTGGAAATCGATGCCGACGATTGCATCACACTGGCGGTGGACAACATGCTGCCCAATCGTTTGCCGGACATGATGATTCGCTGCTCTCCTTTTTTTAGTATCGAAAAATCGACTTAATCTGGAAATCGGCACGAACAGCGTTTCAACAAGATCAATGCTCTGTGAGTGTAAACGTATACTGTATAGAAATCGAGCGATCTGTTCAAACAGAGCGACAGTTCCGACCTCAACCTACTCGATTACGATAGTTTTTTTATTGTATCTTTCAAATTTAAAATATTCTGGCATAAAATAAAGTCAAGATAAGGAAAATAAACCTATAAACATAAATTTTACAAAATATTTAAGCTAAGAACAACCTTTGTAATTTCTTTAAGTATCATTTAATATGTAAAACCTAATAAATGCTGGAAGTACTTGTCTTTTAAAGTCTCTAAGTAAAGTCAAAAATCCACTTTGCATCCCGCTAAATATTTTATCGATTTCGAGTACTTCCATGCAGCATTTGCCACAACAATCAAAATTCATATGTGCCTTAATGCTCAGTGAACTTTAGCTCTCGACTCGGAGGCTCCAATCTCCCCTTGGATTTGGGAAACAGCTTGGAGGCGACCCAAGTCCCAGAGATTCAGTGGGTGTGGCAGATGTCAGCCAGTTGGTCCTTAGACTACAAACATCTACCTTCTACGTGCCACGCTCTGTTTGCTTATCGCATTTGCCTGTTGCAGGAGTTTCCCAAAACTCAGGTGGAAATCCAGGTGGTGGCACGTGCCGCTGGCTGCTCATGATTACAATTACAATTACACAAAGTGGAGCGGGGATTTCACTCACCTGGGGGTCCGCTGCTGCCGCACTGGTTCCTCCGCCCGATCCCGATCCCATTCCCATTCCCAATCCGATTCCCAATCCAGTTTCCATGCCATTCAGCGATAATTTACGATTACGCTCCCGCTCCAGTCTCATGAGTATCTGTGCGTTCTGCTCGCAGGAGTAGGTGTGCGTCTTACGCTTCCGTTCCAGACTGTACTCGTACAGCGGCCTGGCCGCATTGGGTTGCAAGTCCAGCTGCGCCTCATCGCCGGCATCGCAGCTGCACAGGGACTGGTTGGAGCGGCCCTTGCTCCGCTTCAGGGATCCCCGGTTCGACGACGATGGCGTGAGCCGCTGCTCGCTCACGAAATTCGAAAAGGTAACCACATTTCCAGAGGATCCTATAAAGCAGAAAGAATGTAAACGTTATTAATTTAATTTAACATCAAAATAATTCAAGTCATTTTGTAAGACTCATTACTGCACACCGAGCTATGTACCAAAACAAAGTCTAAGCTCTTGATTTGAATCGAGTATCGTTTAACACACTCAATTGTTTTATAAAATCAATAATAGATTTAATCTCAATATTATTATGATTTAATTGAAATTGTTCCTATAAAAGCAGATATGATTTTTCAATATATTGCGATGTCTACTCATCACAATCTTATTTAAGAAGATTATAGCCATTATAAAACATTTGTCATAAAATTTATTAAGACACTGACCTTAAATATCAAATGTAACTTCAGGTTAGATTAAGATTTTACGAATGTTTCTTTTTGCTTAATAAATTAAATATTTAGTTTTCTTACTATCCACCAGTCTTCAAAGGACGGCACTTATACTGAAACAAGAATATTTGTTTTATGAATATGAATATTAAAATTCTTTAGTTAATTTGCCAGATATATAAAATGTAATATTTCCTTTGAAGAGCTAAGGATTTGATTGACATTGATGGGGGCAGGGAATTTTATTACTACCACATTATATTGCAACCCACCTGTTGTGGCTCCTTTTCGCTTCGAGGGCGAGACGTAGAAGATGTCGTGCTCATCGAACTCGACGCTCCGCTGAGAGGTGAGGGTGGCGGCACCACCCAGACCAGCACCACCCAGTGCCGTGGTGGCCGTGGCCGTGCTGCTGCTGGTGGTGCTTGCCGCACTGTTGCCACCACTGCTCAGGTTGCAACCGTGATCCGCCAAAGCGTGCAGCATGGGATGCACCTGTCGATCTCTCAGGGAGTGCTGCTTATGCAGGCCATTAGCTCGTCGGAGCTCCGTCATCGTCCTGGTTTCACTCGCTTTTATTCCCGGAGCCGGCTTATTGTCATCACACTGCTCATGAAATATTCATGCCACACTCCGCCGCGGCGACGGCATTAGCATATCACTTTGATTTCCAAACTGGCTTGCTATATTTTTAATTTTAAATTTGGCCTCTTGCTGGCTAAGCCGGCTAACGATTTCCTTGTGTCAATACAGCTGATTCGCAATCCGATTTGCCAGCTAACTGTTTCAATTCTGGCCCGCGCCCCTTGTCGTCTTGGCCCTCTCATTGCCAGCTTTTCCGAATTTCTTTTTTTTCCCACACCGCTTACATTCTTTTGCTCTTCTCTGGATTTTTTTGTTTAAGTGCTTCGTTTCTGAGATTCAGCTTTCTTTGGCGGCCTGGCTTTGTTTGCCCTGTTAATAGACTTGTCTCAGTCGCCGCCGGTTGTTTGTCTATAATAACTGCAAAGAGACAGCCAAAGAGTGAGATGAGATTAGGCTTAGGCGATATGTGTGCTGAAAAGTCTATTCTAAATTGATTTCATTGTTTGCCAGAGTATCACAAGGAGGGTGTGCTTGTAAATATGTACAAATAATTTATGGAGGGAATCACTTACTTATTTATCAAGGAATTTCCCCAAGCAAACTGAGCGAAAAATTTGGGGCAATAACTTTGGGTATCAATCAAATTTGGTTTTATAAATAACTGACCCAAATTTTATTGCAGTTTGCAAGGGTAACCTATTCTTTGACCAATTTATTAAATTTCAAAAAGTGTTGGTCGAAATGCTATAGAAGCAATTTAGCCTTTAAAGAATGTGAAATATGGACATTTTTATGTTGTCGGAATTTCAATTCATTTACAATTTTTTATCAAAATCCCTTATCCCCCCTTATCTCTATTATCTAATATTTTAATTATTAAATTTGACATTTGAAATTTAATTTATTTCCAGAAATGTACCTGTCGTTAAGTTGGCATAGTCACCTTATGCCAATTAGCTGACCCTTGGTCTATTGATTTCTCGGGCGCGTGTTAGACAGCTATTTTATTTTTGATCTCTTAGTCGATAAAGTTTTTCCTGCACCCTTCTCGCAATGTTAGGCCAAATTGAAACGCCTTATGCTAGGCAACCACATTTCCCCCGCCTATTTTTTAATATTTTGATGTCAAACTTTTCGTATAATCGAAGGCAACTTTTTAATAAGCAAAGCCCGGAGAAACGAAAACAAAAGCAAAAACAAATATAATAATCAAACAAGCTGGCGGCTAAGGCAAAAGGAATTTGTTCGAAAGCAAAATAATGGAATGGCATGACAGCTAAGCTCCCCAGAAAGTATGCAACGTAATAATAACGTTAAAAGATAATGAGAACAGGCTAAACAGCAACAACAAGTGGCTTTGGTGCGGAAATTTCTCCGATTTTGGTAATGCTATATACATATAAATATAAAATGGAAGGGCCCGAAAAGGGGGCATAAATATAAAGAGAAACAAATAGGCAACTTGAGATAACTTTCATGAGTCACAACAGCCACCCTCCGTGTGCGTATGTATATTTATATGTATGTATTTGCGATATTTATCGCTTCTTAAGTATTTTTAAGAAGTTTGCCATCGCCAAGTTTTGTCGACAGGCAACAGCAACAAACGAACAACCAACAACCAAACACCCAACACCAGCAAACATTTTTATCTTGGGCATATTTCGAGAGGCACTTCACTTGTCACAAGTCTCGCCAGGGAGCAAATTGTTAGGAGTTTTTGTTTGGCGGAAGGGAGCCCATCTCGAACATTCTTTTCGACCAAAGTTTTGAAGGCTTTAATCAACTTGTGGCACTTAATGAGCGCCTGTAATGAGTTAATTGTTTCACAATGTTCAGCTGTTCCAGCACGCTTAAATGTTTCAGATAGTTTGGCATTGTGTGTATCTTGTTTTTGACAACTGGTGAGTTTTGTAGGTGTTAGATTTAATAGTTAACACTTTAAATTATTAAAAAAGGGAACCACTTCTGTTTTTTAAAATGCAAGAATTCCCAAAACTAAACTATTTTTTTATGAAGTAAACAAATTTGATTACTTTAAAAATGTTTTCTAATTTGTAAATCATTTAGAACAATTATTGTATATATTCCTTTGCTAGCCTTCAATTAAATTTAATATAATTTTTGGTTTGAGGATTTGGGACTTACATAATTTCGAATTTAATTTAATCGATCTTATTTTTTGACACATATGACACATTTACTACTTTCTTTATGACACCTTCAACTTGGCTGGATTAATTAATTTCGGCATTGATTCGATCCCTCACTTTTGTGGCACATATCTTTAAAAGGGTTTTACGTTCAGGTCGTAAAGTGCTTGGCCTTTTGCACGATAACTAGCATGGGAATTGGAATGGGAAAACCCGAAAGGACAGCGCCAAACTCAAATGAAAATCTAATTTAGAGCAACACGCATCGTGAGAGCGAGGGAGATGGAAAGCGGAGGAGGGAGATGGCATCACAAGTGATACATGGGTTCATGGCAGGCAGTAAAAGCTTCGGCCTGCCTTTCATTTGCGTTTAAAGACCTCCAAAAGGACTTCCGCCTGCACTGGCCTACAAATTAACATGCCCCAATCTGTGACTGTCTCTGTGCATGTGTGTGGGTGCGCAGCGTGAGGGTGTGTGTGTGTGTGGGTGGCATGAATTATGAGTAAAGCAGCTGCAGACTTAATGGAAAATGCTCGAGCCGGGCCAAGAGTTTTTGGCCAAGAGCACGCAAGGCGTAAATTAGAAGAATACCAGAAAAAAACTCGGAAAGTTAATTTCGGGAAGCCACAGTTGATATACCCTTATAAATTATTTCATTATAAAACTGACACTGTAATTGTAACGTTCAGAACCAATTCAGGCTGTTAAAAGCTATTTGGTAAATCTTTTTGGGAATATAACAATATAAAACACCTATGGAACTGAAAGTAGGATTTGATAATAGTTACCTTGTATAAACTTAAATCATAATATCCCTTTGAAAGAGTATTCAAAACAAAAACAGCGGCCACGTAATCACGCATGTGTGTATTTACGAGTGTGATGTAATAAGTTGTTGTAATGCTCGCCTAACTCATAAATTAGACACGATCTATTACGGACGGATTTATATGCATGGGGAGTCAGAGACAACAGGCCAGAAATAAGTACAATATAGGCTTGATAAACTTGGCTGAAAACGAGTGGGTGTCATTTTTAATTTTTGACACGTAGTCTTAACCAAAAGGCTCGAACATGTGTTCTTGACATTGTAAAAAAAAAAAATAAAAATAACAGAAACAAAAAGAACGACACACGAGCATAAAATGTAGAAGTATTTTAAAATTCCAATTCCGGGCAAGAGGGATCGTATAATGAGTTCTCTGGCGGCGGGCCATAAATACCATTTGGAGTGTATGCAGCGCCCATAGGTGGGCCATAAAAATTTGTTTAACACGCACACGTACGACTCGCACACACACACTCATAAGCTTGTGCATACAGGAGCAAATCAAATTTATTTTATTCAACTTTTTTTTTCTTTGCTTTCTGCGTTGCTGTCGTTTTTATGACAGCGCAGCAAATTAATGAAATTTACGCAATAAATCATTTCACCAGAGAAAACAGCAAAAATGTACTTAGAAAGAGACAGATAGGACAGCGTTAGAGCGAGAGGGAAACACTAGAAAATATGTTAAACAAATAAAGGTACGGTTCAAATGCTGTAAAGTTAACCAAACATTGCAACAATGCGCTGGCAAAAAAGCATTTGCATTGTGGCAGTGAAATCAAATGTTTGCTGCTCGGTCCTAAAATGGATTTTGTTATACATATGTTAGCTATTTTTTAAACTTCAAAGTACTGCACTTAATTTATTTTCAGTAAATTTGACCAATTAATAATTGTATCAATTATAATTATATAATAAATATGATAATTGTGCATTGTGCATGTAGGTGTGAAAACATCTATTGGGAAAATTGATGAAATTATTGATTTTTTAAAGGAGATGCATCTGTAACGATAAAACAATTAAAATCAAATATGATATAACCGGACATGAGGTGTTAACGATATTTAAATGAAAAAATAAAATGCCTAAGGCTAATATTTTATTGAAAGCTATAAATAAGAACTTTAAATTAATCCCATTTATCCTTTGTGAATATTTAAAAATGATCCTTTAAAATGTTCAAGGGTAGCCTCCAATCAATTTCAACCAATTCCCGCCGCGTTTCGCCTCATTACGGAATTTATTTCCACAGCAAGATGCCTTCGGCTAAGCTGCCACATTTATTTAAACGAAAACTTTTGCAGTTTCAGCTTTGGATCCCCGCTTTAGCACCCCTCTGCTCCACTTTCTGCACATTTAGCAATCCCATTCGCAACTCATATTTTTAGACTTTGGTCCTAAGTGCGTTGACTGCACTTTTGGCGCTCGCATAAAACTTTTCGGGCTCACTGACCCCCCACAACACCCGGAATGTTCGCCACCCCACAAATAGTCATCTGGCTTTGTGCTGGCCTTCCAAACTCCGAACTCCCCGCGTTTCTATCTCGTGTAATTCAGCTCGCATCCGTTTCTAAAAGTTACGCTGCTCCCGAAAATTCAAGTGGTTGGACCAAAGGCTTTTAGCTGACTTAACACCAGAAAAAGCGCATATACAAACATTCTCAGATCCACTTAGAAAAAATACATACTATAGCAAATAGTGCTGGTAAAAGCAAAGCCGTATGTTAGAAGATAAAGGATTGTTTACTAAGCTAGTTGCAATCATTATTATCTTCTCATCATATATTTTAAAAATATTTTTTTAATATTAAGTTTTAAGTATTTACAAAAACACATTTCATTTTAATTTATGGTTCTGTTATATTTATATTTCTATTCTATTAGTCAGCTTTGCAGTTTATTTACACACTATTTTTCATCGAAAGAAAGCAAACAAAGAAACAAATATTTATCCAAAGAAAACTAGTTCCAAATATAAACAAATTCTTAAAATAAATTTTATGACCAATTTTAAAGATTTTTGTATAGTGCTCTAAAAAACACACACTTACACTTCGCTTATATATGGCTGCAACCCTTCCTGTGCTTTCACTTCCCCTTTTTAGTGGCCTCATAAAGCTTTAGCTTAAGCATGTCGCAAAGAAAGAGTTTCCTGCTCTTCCCAAAAATTTACAAAAAGTCGCGCTTGGAAATTGTGCGTATATGTGTGATTTTGGTGGATGCAAAATAAAAAAGAATTTTACAATGGCGAGCGTGACTTAAAATAAAGAAATAACTTACAGCATAGTTCAAGTCAAACAATGCGCGACATTTTCTTGGAGAATTTAAGATGGTTGTACGCCCCTTTTCCCTTTGGATATATGAGGGCGTGGCAACAAAATCTTGGCCAGAGTTTTGAATTCTTTAGTGGTTCAAAAACCCCAAAGCTCGCTGTCCCTTCTCTTGCCCTCTTTTTGTGACACTCAGCTCTATAAGTTTAGCCCTATTGTCTTTGTCTTTGACATCTTTTGTGGATGGGGCTTAGAGATAGAGTGGGTATTTGTTGTTATTTTTATTTATGTTAAATGCATTTATTTTTTAAGTGCACTCTGATATATTTACGTACCTTAAAATCAGTTTTTGTCTTGACTAAAACTGACCGCAAAATAAGTTGCATTGACTTCTTTGGTAATACAAGGCAGTTCTGAAATGAAAGAAGAAAGAAGTTTTAAATTATTTCAAATTTATCAACATATATTTAAAAATCGTATTCTAAAATTTTTTTAATGATAATAACTTTAATAACCATTTCTTCTCAACCAACTTTAATTTCCTCTTTTATTTCAAATAGCTTTCTAATAGTATTTTCAGCTATTTTACTGTTTCTATTTTCCCAGTGCTCCTAGCAATAAAAACAACAACAAATTGGCTAAGATAGCCCACCAGCTCAGTGTACAATAAAATTTAAATAATTTTTGTTTGTGCTTTGGTCATTGCTTCTGGCCTGTATCGTTGCATATTTGCATGATATTAATTTGCATAATTATGTTGGTCATAAAGAAATGCTGGCCAACAATTATAAAGGGCACCAGCACACGCTAAGGCACCGGGAAAAACAAACCGAATGCAGTTGCCAAACACACACTGTCATAACTAATACAGAGTTATTTATCCCCGGGGTCCGATTTATATTACTTCCCCGTTAGCCATGAAGTCCTCGCTTTTTCTAGAGGAGGTTAGTGCTACAAGGTCTTCACTGCTCTACTGCTCCCGCTCTGCTCCGTAAATTTATCAGTGTCAAAAAATAATAGCGCGCCCGGTTTCGCTTTTAATAATTTCCCCTGCCGAGTCGAGCATTTGGAGCGGAAATTGCCGCTGCTCGAGTTTCGGGGCCGGGTCGTTTGGGGCCTTGAAAACAATGGTCAGATGCAGAGCTGCACTCAGGACGTAACTCTCTAAATTATTTCAATTCCAAATGTGCCCTGAGAAAATTCGCTGGAGGGGAAAACAAAAATCACCCCATTTTCAATCGCATTTGTTTGGCAGTGTCAGCATTAAAATGTTCATTAAATTAATGTAATTTTACTTCAACCTGCTCTTTCTGAATCGGTTTGAACTGGATTTATTTGTTTGTTTTACATGCAATATTGGCAGCTCTTGACATTTGGCATATAAATTCAATTATTCGCCTTTCTGTGTGCTCTGATTAATATTAATTGTTAATGGCTAAGGTTAATGGCTTTTCCTTCAATCTAATTACTTTGGATATTTTATTAAGCATTCCGGATTTTGGCATTAATTTGTGAATATTTAAATATGGAAAATATTGATATTTAAAATTGTTTTTACAAATTCAATTAGATTTATTTAATTTAACGTGTTAGCCTAATTTAATTTTATTTTACAAATATTGCAGTTTTTCGATACTTATTTATTTAAGTGATTTATAATGTTAAATAGGTTGATTAAATTAAAATTTGAAGGTGTAATAAAAAGACATATATTTCATTTTATCCTGTCAAAATCTAAAATAGTTTTCCCTTGCCCGACCATCCATTAAGATTTCAAAATGAGGTTCAGCCCTTTGTTAAACTGTCCGCACATTAAGCAGCCGAAACTTTGGACATAAATTCCAGACCTTACTCCCATAAATATTGCCCACTAACATCGATGGGAGCCAGCATAAAATATGCAGCATCGAAAAGTTTTGTTGTTTTCCCTTTGGCTTTTGTTAGACTGAGCTATTGACTAAATACTTTGGCAAATTCATAAATTGAAGCACAACGTAATAACATAAATATTTAAAAAATGCCAAAAACCAGAAGAACAAAAACTGTGGCAGAGCAAAATTGAGTTGGAAACTTTGTCTCGAGGGGAAGGGGCATATGTTCCTTCCCCGAAACTTTATTGGCTTGATTTTTTTAACATCATAAAAGTGAGGAGGACAGCAACTTGTGCAGCTTCTTTCTTATTCATGGGTATGGCTCATCAAAGCCTACTTAATGCCCAATATTGGCCATGGCTTAAACAGTTTTGACCATTTCATAAGCTTAACTTTTTCGGGCAAAAGTTTTTCTTTTCTCACTTTTTTTTTGGGGATATTCATAAGGCTGCCGGTGTATCCACATTTATATTAAATAGCGACGGGCAGCAGAAAATGCAGGCATTAATATTCAGTGGCGAACTCGACTTAAATGGCTCGGTAAAACCACTAGACAGGTGGAAAGGTGCACAAATAATAAAACAGCTCTACCATTGAGGAAAGAAATATATTTTGTGATATTGATATTGAAGTTTTCACAAACGAATTATTTTAATATTAAGAGCTTAGTGGCTTAAATATCCAAGAGTATGCTTTTTGGACATAGAAAGTGGTTATTTTTTGTTCCACAAAATCATATGATTGACCAACTTTCTTACTGTGTAGCCGGCCTGAATGGTTCATATCCTGACGGAGGTGTTGTTTGGCTCCATTATCACAAGCACACACAGTGCCGTGGAGCATTAGACTTTAATAAGCCAATAAGTTTGCCTTCAGGTATCTCGAGCACTGCTCAAGACATCCTTATCCTTATCCCAAACCTTAGGGAGTGCATTAATATTTATGATTATACAACGCTCAGGACTTCTTGTTCTCTGTCCATGCGTGCGTTATAAATAAAATTAAATGTATCAGTTAAGTTGAATTTTCGGTTTGGTATCCAAAAAGGAGTTCGGCGTCGATAATTCGACTTGGTTTTTGGGATAATGAGATTGTGGGGGTTGAGTCGATTGGTTGGTTTTCCTGGAGAAATCCTACTTGGGTTAATGATGCAGTCGTTAGCGTGGAGACTCTACCTCAAGGGCTCGTACTCTTTAAAAGGAAATCTCCTTGGATGAGAAGTAATGTCTTATGGCCGTAGCTGTAATTAGGTTTTTGGGCATAACGAAGTGGAAAGCTGCATGCCATCGGCGATTTAGGGTGGATTTATTATGTAGTGGTTTCCTTAACGAAAATCTCTTCATCAGGAACTTAAAGCCAAATTGAATAAACATAATTTAAATTTTCTAAGAGGAATTCTATTGCAAACTTAAATTGGTACATATTTATGAATATATCAATCAATACATTATGCATCGTTTTTTATTTAACTAACTAATAATATATCCAGAAAATTATTTTTCAATAACTTGATTTACATCATAAATATAAAGTGTCTTTCCCTAAAGACATTCACATATTTTGCGTTCTCTTGTCTGTTTAGATTTTCACAGTTTACCGAACGTTGTCTCTTTGTCTATAAACTAAATTACTATTTATGTAGTTCCACATAGTTAACTAACTAGTTTTTAGTTGCCAGTTAACTTCTACTACTTATTTCTTTATCCCGAAGCCCTCTTTTCCACCCTCGATTATTGCTCTTCTAAGTATGCAACACTTTTCGCTTCAACTTGCTCCCGCTTTTCCTGTAGTTTTCCTGTGTTTTCGTGCAGGCACCTTATCTATTCAAGGATGTGTGCTTGTGCTATCAAATAACATCTTTATCAAACATTTTTGTGTAACATGCACGCGACTGAAATAAAAATAATGGTCATGGCAAGTATGGGAAAGAGGGGGACGATTTGGGGAAAAAGGGCGGCATATTCGTGGCTTTCCTACTAACAACGCGAAATAAGAACAATAACACCAACAACCTCAACAGTTCAAAGAATTAACTCACATGCCTGGCATAATAAACATAACAGCTTCAGCCTTGGCTGTTGTTTTAGATGCCGTTGATACCCAGGAAAAAGTAAAAGGGTATATTGCAATTTTAGAAGCTTATGTAACAAATATAAATATGAATTGTAGCAAATGAGAGATGAGTCTATAAAAATATTAAAAGTCTCATAACATTGTTTATTAAATTGTTATTATTATATTATAATAAATACATTTTTATTTAACTTTCGGCTTGGATATTAATTTAGATTTGGGTGTTTAAATAAATAAATCATTTTTTGGGGTAGTTAATAGTCCGGAGCCCATTTTTATATTTTAGTCTTAGCGTTAGCTTTATGTTTACTCTAGCGTCGTTGTTTATTTATGGTGGTTCTCCTCGACTGCCTTTCTGCCTTCATTTGGATGGTTAACATGGTCTCCTTTCCCGCTATCTCCCACCCAGCAAACAGACAGCCTTGGGAGACGTGGAAAACATGTAGGGAAATGGTGAAAACTTGTAGCCTTTTGGCCTCGCTCAAGAAGCTATCGAAAGCAGTGCACAAACAACATAATTAGTGGAGAGCTGCAGGGAAGAGTCCCGGGGAATCCCCAGGTCTTCAAAGACTCCTCTGCTAATTGAGCAGCTTGTACTGCACAATCGAATTAATTTATTCTGACTGGTAAAACTTCAATCAATTCGCCCCGCAAAAATTTCTCCAACGAAAATTATGACTTAATGCAGCCAAAGACGTTCTGCGTATCCATTGCTGAGCCAGAGTTGGAAAATTAATTTCCCAAGTGCATTATTTAGCGGGGGCGGTGGGAGAATATCCCCCAATCCCAGCAGCGCATAAATCGACGTAATGGCAAATTGTAGCCAGCGGAAAAAAAAGGTACAAGCGCCACATAATGCGAGTATGATGAAAAATGAAAGCCAGCCGGGAATGTCAGAGTTTTCGAGGACTTCAGAGAAGACCAAATGTTCACCATTCGACTTTTATGGATATAAAAGGCAAATCTAAGAAAATCTGGGTGGGCTTTAGGTGGGACTGTAATCGAAAAAATATGTACAACGTATGTATCCAAAATTTCTTTAATTCCTTTTTACCTATCATTTGCTTTTTGGAGTAATGTTTATGTAGCTTATAGTAATAACATTTTAAAGAATATTGTGTTTCTTAATTGTGAGATATTTTTTAAAATATTGGTATTTAATAAAATACACAAGGCTTACTAATAACTGAGTGCATATTTTTTGGTTCTTAATTTTTGTATAGAAAGTCTTCACAACAAGACAAGTATTTAATGATTTTTTTAGCTGTAAAAAAATAAGTTTTTATTTTTCTTTGGGAAAAATTACATTTCTAAAAAAAATCAATAGATCTTCCTTAGACAGAACAATTTTTTATTCCCACCTTGTCCCATTTTTTCAATTCCCTTCAGTCTCTTTTAGCCATCTATCATATTCGTTACTTCCAAGTATGTGGAGAAAAAATCGAGTATAACTTTAATGCTCATTTAGC